AAGATCGTTCCTTTTATCTGGATATACCCAAATGTATAACCCAAAGTGCTGTAACAACTAAGGAACTAAAGTCATTTAGAGTTAAAATTTTCCAGATTGTAACACAGCCTGTTAACTTGTAATGTTAATCCAACCATAATTCAGTACAAAGTCCACAGGATTGAAACTGAAAAAGAAAATATACTTTTGAAAATACCCACCAAACATTGCCCAATAAGCAGTGGATCACCAATCATGTCAGTGCTCTCCATGAATATTAGTTTAGGATGAGCATCTCTAAGGCTTTCAGTCATCTCATCTAAGGTGAAGGAAATGTATGAACTTTGAACTAGCTGTTTCCTGAACTATTAACTTTCCTAGTAGCAATTTTAGAACAGTAATGAAAGAGAAATATCAGCTAGCATTTACAGAGCACTTCATTTATAGAACATTTCCAAATCAAACTCTGTAAACCATATACAGGAATCTTTCCATCCTTTACTAACACACAATCTCCAGTGAGCTGTTCCAAACAAAACAATTGCAGACATGAGGGCCGCTATCTCACAAGGCAGTGCTCCCAGCATTTTTTCTAATACATGTGTATCCGCATTCAATGAGCATAAATAAAATATCTGCAAATTAAAAAACTGTGTAGATTTTTAAACCACACAGTTGAAATAAATATTACCCAGTTAACAAGTTTAAGATGAATTCTTGCCACACAAGTGCATAGGACAAGCTAAATGACAGTGTCTTCAGCAGAAACATCCTCAATGCCAGTATGATGAGCGATTATAATAATTCAGAACTATTTCACCCCCTCGGCATACTTCACTGTTTAAAAGATGAGCTATATTTGAACAGAGAGTAGTTAACTGTGTTAATCTGTAGTCAGGTAGTAGGTAGGGTAGGTAGAGAGGCACTTGATAGACACTCTGTTTCAGTTAGTCTATAACAGGGGTGGACAATTATTTTGGCCTGAGGGCCACTTAACAAGTTTTGGTGAGCTGTCAAGGGCACAAGGGTGTATGTGGAGTGTATGGGAGCCCCAAGACGAGCCCTCCTGAGCTGGTCAGCACCTTCTCCTGCCCCACAACAGCCCAGAGCCCGTGTGCCCTGCAGCGCTTGCCTTGCCACTGCTAACAGTGCGGCCTGCACCCGCTCTGCACCACCCAGCTGCGGTGCGTCCTGATCCCCTTGGGCATGCAGCAGTGCTGAGATGTCTCCTTCTGGCTGCCACCTCTGCTGTCCCCAGCCCCGCAGTAGTGGCAGGGACCAGTGCAAGCATCCCTGACCACACATGTCCCATGCCAGCTCTGGGTTGAGCAGCAGCAGCCACAGCTGGGCAGAAAGTGTTGCTCGGTGCAGGGGAAATCGGACCCTCCCCCTTGCTGCTGCCGGGCAGGTTTTTTTGGGTGCAGCCGCCTGGAGCCTGTGCTGCACCGGACTGCCATGCAGCTCCATCACCGCTGCCTCTGGGCTGCCCTGCGGCTGCTCTGCACTGTCACCGCTGCCCCACGGGGTGGCCCGGAAAGAGCAGTGATGCGGCGGAGACACAGGGCAGCCCTGCATGGGCTCTGGGCGGCTGCAACAGAAGGGGCAGCAGCGGGAGGGGGAGGGGCTTTTACCCCACTTTTAGCAGCAGTTTCTGTTCTGCACTGCCCGGATGGGCGAGCCGGCGCAGGGCGCAAGGGTCCTGGACTGCATGCGCTGGTCCCCACGGCTACCACGGGGCTGGGGGCTGCAGCGGCGGCAGCTGGAAGAAACTGCCACTGCCCAGGCTGCCAGCTGCCCCAGCCCCGCTGCATGCCCACAGTGGCAGGACACTCCAGAAGGCACCTCAGCCGGGCTGGACCAAGAGACCCGCTGTGGGCAGGTCCATGGGCTGTTTCTTGTCCACCCCGGTCTACAAGCTACATCTCTAACTTGCCTTCTGCCTGACAGTTATACTGTGAAATGAATGCTTTCATAAACACTAACCTCCAGGCCATCACAAACTTCACCAGCCCAACGTTTTTCTGCAAAAAATGATTTACTCAGTGCTGTTAACTGTAGGCTGTAGGGTTCTGGATTAGAATTCAAGGAAGTAATACCCTACAGATGGGTGGAATGTATTTCTAGTTGATGTTGTAGAAATAAGGAAAATGAAAATGTGCAACATCTCAAACACTATATAGGATTCACAGGCTTAATGTCTATGAATTAGGCTGTGTGAATATGTTTGCTAAGCAAACTAGTTTCTTCTGCTATTTACAGAATATCCAAAGCAAATCGGCATGTCTTTAAAGGAATTTGTATTTCAGATTTACTTATTGGAAAAAAAAAAAGCTTGATTTTTAAACCCCCTGCAAGCAAACTGACTGCAGTTTGCTGTGAGAATCTGATATTCACTACTGATGGGTAGTTATGATTGATCATTGTTTCCAGAATTACTTAGTCAAGTGTGTCAGAACCCATTAGTAGTTGTATGCCTATGGCACAGTGGAATCTCCCGCCACAGTGGAACATCCCGCTATCATTCTGCTGTCAATCATTCTGAATGCTATGGCACAGTGGAAAATTCCGCTGGTGGCAGTAACTAGGTCATGGTGGAAAATTCCGCTATGTCAGAACCCAATAACTATATGCCACAGTACTGGAAAATTACAGCTTAGAAAAAGTTCCTGCCAACTCTACGCAAACATGCACACCACCATTGGCCGGTTCCAAATTATTCATATTTGGCGACTAGTGATTGGCTTGCTAGCCATATAAAAGTTAAAGCAGTTTCCACCCACGTTGGAGAACTCCGCATACACCTTGGAGTTGGAGAACTCCATGCTTTTCTCGGAGTGAACCTGGCGGACTGATCACCCACCAGCGACTCCCTGTCCTCGACCCTCCCGACGTACCCCCGACCCCGGTACCGCAGTAAGCCGATTACGAAAACTTCGTCCCGGTTCTCTCGCAGTTTTAAGAGAGTCTTTACTACGTTTGTAACTGCAATTAAGCCAGTCAACTCTGCCTGTGCCCATACATCGGTGGCGTAAGTAAACAATGTATTTGTTACCAATACGCATCCGTGCCTAATTCCGCTCCATCGGTCAAAAGTACCCACCTGACGTTTCGGGCTACTGGCCACAGCCCGGCCTACCACTCAACTGCCACAAGTGGAGTCATGTTTTTGAGTCTTTCAAGGAGGGTAACAGCAAATTAGGAATAGACATCAAATAAACGGGGAAGGAAGGATTCTGAGTCATTGGGCCCTTATCCAAAAAATAGGCTTCTCTAAGATTTTTCACCTTGGGAATTATGTTTAATTTTCTGTCTCACATTCAGGCAATGTTTGTAGATGGTCTCTGTCCCCCATGAAAAGGGTATGGTCTGATCCTTGCCTAGTGTGCTAAATCATCTCTGTGATAGGGATTGGAAAGGGATATTATTATTATTACTATTTTTACAAGTATGTCTATTACTATTACTATTATTACTATTATTATTATTATTTGTCGTAGTATTTTTCTATTACCACAGCATCCGGGAACCAGTCATGGACCGGGACTTTGTTCAATTATGACACTTTACAAATGCAAACAGTGAACAATTCCATATAAGATAGCACTAGTAGATTAAATTCTTGAGTATGTTAGTTTAAGATGACTATAAGAAGGTTAGGAGAAGGTTGTAAAATATTTTTAAGGATCTTTACACATCAGAAACAATTTTAACTATTTCTTCTGTAAGACTCCGGACAGCTAGAGAGCTAGTAACATAATGTTAGCACTGACATCATGAGAATTAAACCTGAGTAAATGGGAAAGGTTGCAGAGATGAATTTGGGTATAAGTAATGTAAGCTTGTATGTAGCACCTCCAGTCCTGGAGTTATGCTCTGAGATCAGCACCTAAGGTGTCATTAAAACTAAGTTAACTTTGAAATTGTGACTACAGTGTGACTATAATTGAATACAAAACTTGCTGCAAAACTTGTCCAGGAGTTTGAGTAAAGTTAGGCAGCTAGCTCTTGCTGAGCTCCTTGCACCTGGACCTAGATGGCTACTGGTATCAACCCTCCCTCCCACCCCCACTTGTGTTGCAAATTAGTAGCATGGAATGCCTTCATGTACTATGTGCAGTGCTGCAGATGGGCTCGCAGCACCATATACCCCATGTTCCCACTCATCTGGATGTATCCTCTAGGTTTAGCTTGTGAATCATATTTGCACGCCTAACAGTAATAACAGTGTGTGACACCCTGTAGCACCCCTGAAAGGATCTCAAGAAACCCTGGTTGAGAATCACTGACATAATGCTAGTCTGCAGACTTCCTGTAGCAGAGGAAGGAAACATTTTGCTCAGTTACTCATTCCCAGGGCAGGCAAGCTGCTGCGGAGCAAGGCACACTGTGGCATTGCTGGAGAGACACCTCACTGCTACTATACTTGCATAAGCAAGGTCAGGGTATGGGACCACACAAATAGTGCTCTTTCTCCTCTTGCTGGGGTATGCCAGTTGTATTTTTCTAAATCCAGCTCATAAAGGTAATGATTGCTATTTTAAAAGACACCTATGTATTGAAATGTGGAGAAAAGATGTCTGAGCTGTAATACAAATTTCATTGACCTTGATACTTTAGCTACATGTACTCATTGCTTTGCAGTTCCTATGTCTTCATCTCCCTGGCTTCATCTTGAGAGCGTTCAATGGCATTATCTCAGAAAGTCAGTAAGCAGGATCTTAGTGGGTTGTAAGCTAATATGTTCACATATAATCTGAGCGCTTTTGCTCATTCACCAATCTTCGTGTTCTTCAGGATATTAATGCCATTTCAGTTGTCTTACTAGTCAGGGAAAAAACCTCCCATATTAGTTATTAAAGGAATTAAGTATGTAGAAAGTGGTACTATGTTTTGCTTGCATTCTGCAAAACAGAGACAGATGTTTGAAGGTTAAATCAGTGTGTGTGTGTGTGTACGCGCGTGCGTATTCATGTGCAGCAAATTGCCAGTACAAAATTGGAACAACACCTGGCACTTGTGGTTTAATATGTTTATTCTAATTATGTTTAAAAAAGGAAGGTGGTATTCATGGGGGAAGAGGAGTCAATCTTAAATGTCACTAACATTCTTAACATTTATTTCTATTTTAAAATATATCAACTTACTTACTTTAAATTTACTAGACACATTACCTCATTCTCTTGTGTAAAACATTTTCTAAAATTCATGAGACATTTGGGATTTCAAATATCTATCTTGTTGAAAACAAGAATGTCATTTTAAAGTGCTGCAAAAATAGTCTTTTATTATTAATATATTTAGTTAAGGAGTAGTAAAGGGACATAAAAACTTCCTCCTTTAAAATTGTTAAACATTACTCTAGTAATTACAGGGCACAACCAGGTTGCATACCACTATGTTAGAAACTGCAAAAAAAGATACTGAAGGACAGCCCCTTCTCCAGAGACTTTCAGAGATACAAACAAGTGGGCAAGTCACATGTGCAGGCCAGAGGCAAGAAAAAGATGCAGCAAGAAATCTCCACAGTGCTTAAGTAGTCAGTACAAGTGGTGCAACTCCACCTCTCTTATCCTTCATTCAGTCGCGCTTCCCAGTATGCATTCTGTCCAAGACAAGGTCTGAGGAGAAAGTGAGGATAATGCTGCCCTGATTCCCCAATAAACCCCACCCATCTCCTGCTCTGTACACACAAAACAGGGCAGTGAAGTCATCATGAATGCATCCTGCCGCTGCTCTCAAGCATGCTAAAGACAGAGATCTTGAGAGCAATGGTAAAGAATTCCACAAGGCAGCTTCATAATTCATATCCAGTTTGACAGGTATGCAGTGGGTGGTCAGGCTGTGCTTGAATGGCATGTCTCTGAAAGCACCGGGAAAGTAGTGAACACACACTTTTGGAGGACATGGAGTGGTACTACTGTGACACAATTTTTCCCATTATGAAGGGTGGGAGAATCAACAAGAGTGCTTCTAGGGAGAGAGAAGAATCAGGTAGATTAGGCTAGGATCACTGATAGAGCAAAGTTCCTGGGATAAGAAGGTGGAATAGACAGGCAGAGTAGGACTACATTTTGAAAAGTTTTGAAAATAAAAATTAGGAAGTTTGTCTGATGCACTGAAAGGGAGGGAGCTAGTGGAGAACTAGCAGAGGGAGTAAAAAGCACAACAAGCCAGTGTGATGATACCTGTGGCAGTATTTTGAATGGACCTGAGATCATGAGGTTCAAGTAAATGATTCCAAAGAGGAAGAAACTGAAATATTTAAACTGCTACATGATCCTGCAAAATGATCAGGACTTGCATAATATCTTGGGCAACGAGAAAAAGTTGGGTCTCAGACATGCTGTGCAGGAAATTGCAAAATTTAGGGATGCCTTACATGTCAAACAATACAGCTGAGACAAATAAGGCCAAGGTAAAAGGCACAAAACACTTGGACAACTTGATCATGTTGTCCAGCATAACAAGCTAGAAAAGGAAAAATAAAAGTATGAGTGTTTTATAATGTTTCCTATTGTAACTGTTAATAGTGGTTGACGGACCATAAAAAGGCTCTCATGTCAAATTATGAATCGCTGACTTTTATATGAAATGCTAAATATCTGCTGGCCACATAAATTAGTAGCTGGCTACTAACTAAATTAATGGCATCAGATTAGTAGCTGGCTACATAAATTATCCAGAAAAAAGAACATGAATTACACAGCTAAGCATACCGCCACTTTTGAGCATTTGCACAAACAACTCAAATCATATTTCTTTTTATATATTTTATAGCCACTATCTTGCCCCTTAGATAATGATGATAACCATAGACTAGAGAACAAAAAGCTTTGTTAACTTTCCATTTGCTTGTTTTGCATACTTGATGAAATTTTGTATATTATCTATTTCTCCTCTTCAGGTATTTTGTTTTTGGTCCTGCTAAGATGCATACACTTAGCATTATGAAATGTGAGTTGTTCTATTAACTGCATAAAGACAAGTATATGCACACAGCTCTTTGAGAAACAGAGAATTAATTTATCCTGCTATGGGATGGTTGCTAGCACCTCTAAAGAGTAGCATTTTAGGGCCCCTCTAAACATGCAGGTTAAGGCATGACTGGATCTAATGTGTGATCCATACAATTGTGCCTCCTGCCCTGCTAAATGTCCACAGTAGGAGGTGCGATTGTGGGATTTCATTTCAATTTCATTAAGTCCAAATTGGGACATACTGCCAGTGCAGGGGGAGCCTGATCCTATCTCTGGGCTCTCTCTGACTGGCAAGAAGCAAGCTTCCATGGCTGGGAATCCCCTCTGCTGAGGGTGCTCCCAGCCGTGGAGGCCATGTGCAGCCAAAGTCAAGAGACTCCCACAACTGATGGGACTCCTGTTCCCAGCTGAGCCCCACGGTTAGATGCGACTGAGAGCCGTGTAACTGATGGAGCTCCCAGTCCTGGCTGCACCTCTCCTGGTCCTGGCTGTGTCAGTTGTGCGGCTGCTAGTACCACTTACATGTGAGATGCAGCCAGGATTGGGAGTCCTGTCCCTTGCAGGGTCTCTCAGTCCGTGCTGCAGGTGACGAGTCAGACTGAGAACGCCATGTGGACTGGGAGTTTTACACCCTACCCCTAGCCTTGAGGGTCACGGCAGCTGCAATCCCCAGGGCTCAGGTTTTTCATGCTGGATAAGGTATACCCCTGTAGCTGGGAGCTCTTGTCAGTTCATGGGGCTCCCAGCCACAGGGGAGACCCTGCTACATGTGCAAATTAAAGCTCAGTAACAACCAGCTATAAAGTTAGTACATGTTTTTGAAGTTTAACTTTATAGCTGGGTGGAGCTTTTTATTGTTATAGCTACTTTGCACATGTAGTTGGCCTTAAGGTAATAGTATAATTAACCAGATACTTGCACAATACCTGTCACTTGTAGGGGGGCCTTAAAGACTCCGGTGACATAGTGTCACTTGTAGATGCACCCAGTGTTAACCAGTTTTGCTATAGCATAATCACGTACATCACATATCGTATAATCACAGCTGCAATGGAATTTGGGATAGTGTCTTTCTCGGTCATGAAAAGGAATCGGTGCGTTAAGACAGATCATTTCTTCTTAAAATATAACTGTACTTCCAACTGAAAGGTCTTCTGGTGATTCTTTGTCCATGTTTAAAATCCCAGCCATGGCTAACAGCTAGGGCAATAGATTTTTCTGTAACTTGCAGGATGAAATTCTAATTTTCATAATGGTGCAAATTTTCCAAAGACATTTGAGTTAGCTATAGCTTTTCATTTCTCCTCTTCACACAGCTTCTTTTATAAGCTCAGCCAACCTCTGAAATGCCTACAATAAAATAAAGATGGACAGCATTCAAATTCCAGCACTGGCTAAGCAGACAATATGCTAAAACTATAGAACTACTGTTTTAATAGGTGAACAGTGTAAAAACAGAAAAAACTAAGAAGGAAGGTGTTTGAAGTTGCATGCCTCTCTAGAGCCTACATACCCGAGACTCAGGGCTCCAGGAAGGCATTACTGTGTATTCAGGATTTATAGCAGGGAACCCTGTACCTACATCTAATCTTTTCTAGACCCCGATTCTGTAGCCTAAGGGTTACAGCACTCAACTATAAGGTGACAGAATCGGGCGCTGGCTCTTCCTCCTAGGACTGTTTTATACTCCAAAGATTCTAATGACAAACATAGTCATAATCCTGGAAAGCAGGGACTCCCCCCACTGAAAGCCCTCATGTTAGACCACAGGGTCAGACTCCTCCTTGCTTATTATCCTTCTCTGGAAGATTAGTTCTTGAATCATCAAGTACGGAGTATGTGTATGAACTGGAGGAAAGATCTACATCTGACTGATCAAGGGAACAGAATGTTTAATAACAGTCACATAGAGCTTCTTTAATGTACAAAGAAAACTGAGTAAAAGGAGTTAGATCTGAAAAAGGCAGATCCTGAGAGATAATGATAACCGGCACTCTTATATTAAAGCAACTAGCAAAACTTGATCTGACTTAAAGCCAGATCAGGCCTCTTGGGAGCAAAGTCTGATAAACAGAAGTAATAAAATCCAGGCAGGTGAATTTGAGAGACACTGGGTGCATCTACACGAGAAGCTTTACTGTGCAATAGAGAAAATTACTGTGTAGTAACCATCAGGACCTACACGTGCAGACCCTTACTGTGCAGTAATCTGCTCTATTTGCCAGTTAATATGCTACCTGCAAATGCAAGTAGAAAATGGTGGGGCTGCCCTGGAAACAAGGAGCTTTCAGCCCATGGAGCGGGGACTGGGAGATTGTTCCCTACCAGGAGAGTTCCTGGCCAGCCCCACACTGCATGGGGAAATCTGCACATGCAGCCTGGAGCTGGTTGGGGACTGTCCTGTTTTGGACAGCTGTTTCTCAGTCCCGTGCCCTGATGGAGCAATCAAGGCATGGGGCTTAGAAAAAGCTAAAGTTACAGGGGTGGGGCAGGTCCCAGCCCCAATCCATGGGTGGGACAACTAGCAGCAAGCCCCTGGCTCGGCAGGGAATCCCCACCCAGCCAGGGGTTCACTGCTAGCTGCCCCACCAGCAGATCGGGGCTGGAACCTCCCTCTCCCTTGCAGCTCTTTCCAAGCCCCCTGCCCCTGATCAGGGAGCTGGGGCCAGGGGCTCCCTGCTGCCGGAGCAGGGGAACATTGTCCCCACCTGGGCTCTGTCATTGGAGCTGACCCCTGCAGCAGGCAGCTGCCTGGGGCAGGGAGCAATCTCCCACCCCCTGCCAAGAGACTGTGGTCTCCTAGCCCCATGCTCCCCGACAGTCCCTGGGCTAGCACCTAGGGGGAGCCTCCAGGGGCTAGCACTCCAGGGGGAGCTCCACCAGGCTGGTGCACAGACAGAGGGGCAAAAGCAGACTGCTGCCAGGAGCAGCAAATCTGTTCCCAAATCCGTGCATATGTAGACACCTGCCCAGGGTGGGTTTACTCCAGAGTAAATTACTTCGGAGTAAACCCGTTCAGCAGCATTTGCATATGTTAATGCGACCACTAAACATTCAGTGCCTTACAATTCATCTAGATAAGAACATCTTGCAAAAGAAACAGCTGATATGATTTAAGGAATATTTCTCAAGACTCTTGATATTGATAAACCAAACAAGCAACAAAGAAGCTTGATGGGAAAACATGGAGACAACTATACAAGTAAAGTAAGTGAGCAAAACAGCAACTATTATGTCAGGCCATTTTATTCGTGGGTATACACAGCAAATCAAGACGCACTCACCTGATCCATCTGAGCTGGAGAAGACAAAGAGAAGGAAGCTCTAACATGAGAACTAGGATGTGAACTATCAATGTTAAATGCTCCCCCAGGAACCAGTAGTACCTATGAATAATTGACAGAACATTGGGTTACTGCATGTTCTTAGATTTAAATTATTAGAAAATGTTAAAATGCATATTTGTTGAGCGTCCAGGATAGGCCAATGTTAAAAAACAAACTCACAATGAGTCTTAACTCATTCCCTTCTTTCAAAATGGGATGGCAGAAAACTTGGCATAAGACATAGTACTTAGTTGCTTTTAAAACTTATAGGCAGATTCTTTTGTATCATCCTAGTGTTTAGATAAGTATCAGAGTTCTTTAATATTTTATGCTGGCCCATAATGCTTGTTGAAATGAAACCATGCTTGGAAGTTAAGGATAGTTTGGTGAGGTCTGCATCTGTGTCTGGGATACATGTAAGCAAATGAATGGCTGGTAGGACCTAGCCTTACTAGAATATAGTTAGGAAAGTGTTTCATTAGTAAGGATGGTCACTAGTCTCCAAGACTATACGTCTGTTCATAACCTGCCAGGTTAATGAATACATGGCCATAGTTTTTCCCCATATGCATACGCCTATATATTAAGTAATACATGACTTAATCCTTGCAGTTCATTTGAATTTCAGTAAATGTTAAACGTACTTCTTTCTGCAAAGCTCTTTCCATGATCAAATGTTGGGTGTCAGAAACTCCCTTAATTTTAATCCAAAGAAACATTCCAGCAGCAGGGGAGTACCAGTCTGCCAAACCTGGAGAGATTAAAAGAAAAAACCCCAGAAAATCAAACATAAATACACCTGTCCTATCTGTAATGGATACTAGCGTGAAATCCTAGCTTCAGATGAAATCAGTAGGAGTTTTGTTATTGACCTTCAATGGAATCAGGTTGTCGCAGACAGAATTTAAAGTGCCTCTGATAAAATTATCCAGTAATATAACTTATATCAGTATTGGAAAAAAAAACTATTGTTTTTGGTATTTTAGAAAATGAACATTCTCATTCTTTTATTCTCAGTTGGTTACAGAATGCTCAACAAGTAGCAAACTGAAGTTGAATGGCAGACTGATTTCTGAAACTGCAAGTAAACATCTTTTAAAGAATCCAAGAGCATTTTTTTCTAATGCCAGCTCCTTTGGTATCATCATTACCTTAAGCACAACTGCAAAATTATAGATGGTATAAATATGTAAGAAAGTTAATAGTTTCTTTTCTTTTATTCACATTTTTCCTCATAAGACTAAGCGGAGTAGAGAAGGGCATAGGTTAAGACCCTTACTGCTGTTTCTGGCAGGTCAGCAAGCCAAATACTCTTGTGGGTACTGACTCCAGCTTTCTTACATATGTGCATTATATGAATAGAGTATGTCATTTATTGCATTTGCCATCTGCCCCAACTCCTTAGGTACGTTAGATCATTACCTAAAATATACTAATGACAAACTACTCATTTGTCATTGTGTACTACCTTTGTTACTATTATATCTCTATTACCATATTGTCTGAAGATCTTACTATATCTTTCATGCATATATTTATCTTCATTTCCCTTGTGAGGTCTGACAGCACTACTATCCCCTTTTCAACACATAAGGAATTGAGGTGTAGGGAAGCTAAATGAGTGGCTCCAAGTCACACAAGGCCATCTGTAAAAGGGGAATAATAGTACTTCCCTACTGCATAACTGGGAGTGGGGAGTAGAAGTTGCAGTAAACACATTAAAGATTATGTAGTGTTCAGATACTACTGTAATGGGTCTACATATGATGCACCCAGGAGTCCCTGGTGGTCAAGAGTCATGGTTGCGGCTATGTATGGAGAGATGAGTTCTAAGGTAACTATGGTCAGTCCCACGTTAGTGTCTGAACTGATCCCGACTGTACAGCATATAAAATGAATAAAATAATGTTACTCCTTTGTTATGAGCCCTTTAAGATCACAAGTGTCTGTCATGGCTTTGGCAGAGATCACTATAACACAAGCTAGTTGTTAATGTTTAGGACAAAGCTTGTTGCTTTGGAAATAAAAAATGTTATATAATTTTATACTGTTTGTATGTGTACCTGCCACAATAGCCTGACACAGCCTTTCCTTATACCCTGCCCTTTTCAAATAGTTATAAAAACTGGAGTGTCCAAAAATCTGATAATATTCTGAGTTGAAACAAATGGGAAAACTGGCAAAAACTCTTGATTTACTCATAACCTCTGTTTATCACTTCACTCTGTAGAGATGCCTTAATAGTGACTTTCTTGAAAACAGAACTGAAGTGGGAAGAAATTTTTGTCGATGACAAAGTTGGGAAACATTTGCCAGTTCAGAGCAGGATTGGAATACCAGTGAAAGAACTGGATGATCTTAAGAACTGTACCTATAAAACTTTGATGTAATGCAATAGCAGAAAATGCAAGATCAGTTAGGTGTAATGTACCAGGGGACAAAAAAAACCCCAAAATGTTCAGCAATAAGCCTGGGCTCATCAGTTGGAAAAAACTGAGGAGGTGAAGGACTTGAGTGTACTTGTTCATGGGATGGCTGAGCCACTAATGTGAAACACTGTGAAAAAGGCAAATGTAATCCACGGGTATGTCAGGAGAGGCATTTCCAGTAGAGATAGGAAAGTATTAACGTTGTTGTACAAGGCACAGCTGAAACTTCATCTGGAACACTGTACACCATTCTAGAAAGGTTAACTGAAACTTGAATAGATGCAAAGAAGAGTTTCATAGTTGGTAGGGTCAGAAGGGACCTAAGCAGATCATCTAGTGAGACGCCCTGTCATGGGCAGGAAAGGATGATGGGGTCAAATGACCCCGGCTAGGTGGCTGTCTAGTCTCCTTTTGAAGACCCCCAGGGTAGGGGTGATCACCACTTCCATTGGAAGTTGGTTCCAGCTCCTAGCTGCCCTAACAGTGAAGTAGTGCCTTCTGATATCTAGCCTGAATCTACTCTCAGTCAACTTATGGCTGCTGTTCCTTGTTACCCCGGTAGTGCTCGGGGGAGCAGGGACTCTCCCATTGCCTGCTGGTCCCCCTTGGCAAGTTTACAGGTGCCCCCCAGATCCTCTCTCAGCCTTCTTTTGTGGAGGCTGAACAGGTTCAGGTCCTGTAGCCTCTCCTCATAGGGCCTGCCCCGCTGCCTCCTAATCATGTGAGTGGCTCTCCTTTGGACTCTCAATGCTGTCCACATCCCTCCTGAAGTGTGGCACCCAGAACTGGATGCAGTACTCCAACTGCAGCCTGACCAGTGTCGCATACAGGGGGAGGATCACCTCCTTGGACCTGCTCGTGATGCATCTATGGATGCATGACAAGGTGTGGTTAGCCTTCCTGACCGCGTCCCCACATTGGTGGCCCATGTTCATCTTGGAATCAATAATGACTCCAAGATCCTTCTCTGCCTCCATGCTGACAAGAAGGGAGTTCCCCAGCCTGTAGGTACGTTGCTGGTTCTTCTTCCCAGGTGCAACACCTCGTACTTGTCTGTATTGAAACCCATCCTATTCTCATCTGCCCACCTCTGTAACCTGTCGAGATCTAGTTGTAGCCTGTACCTCTCTTCTAGCATGCTCACTTCTAACCACATCTTGGTGTCATCTGCGAACTTGAACAAGGTGCTTTTCACCCCCTTATCCAAATTGCTGATGAAGATATTGAATAGTGCGGGCCCGAGGCCTGGGGAACTCCACTGCCTGCATCTCTCCAGGTCGAAAATGACCCGTCCACCACCACTCTCTGGGTGCGGCCCTCCAGCCAATTTGCGACCCATCTGGCTGTGTAGGCGTCGACAGTTAATATGAGTCAGTTGTTGGTTAATATGAGTACTATCCATAATATATCAGGGAAGCGAACCCCAGGGACACAGAAGAGCTATTTAAGCTAAAGGACAATTTGGCACAAGAATAAATGGTTATAAACTGATCATGGATAAATTACGAAGTTTCCAAGCAGTAGAGCCCTGAGAGAGTCTGGATTACCCATTCAATCAAAGTGTAAGGGGGGAAAATCCCAATTATTTTTAAAGGTGGAACTTAATAAGTTTAAGGAGGGATTATATGATGTGGTGCCTGTGATACCAGGGGACTGGACTTAGTGACTTAGAGTATTCCTTCCTATATACCCAAGTTAGAAAAAAACCCTTTGTATGGGTATGTATGTAGCTTTGTTGCATTCACTGACCTTTTAACCACTTGTCTGCTGCAACAAGCATTGCATCCCGCTGGCTCTTGTAGAATTCCACTACTCTACAGAAAAACAATCAATTCAAAGACAAAATTCAAAGGTAAATTTCAACCATGATGGCAGAAACAAAAATGTAATATTTTTTTTAACATAAACAGAGACCAACTCTGAACTAAGGATACCCCTATACATCAGAAGACTCATATGCCCAGTATGAACATGCAATGAGCAGAACATGGTCTTATTCTATGTATATTATGCATTTCTATAATACATTTGTAAAATGTGTGTTTCATTGTCTTCACAGCAAAAGATATTTAAGGAACAGGAAAGTGTCTGAATACGGTCATTTCATACCTTTTTGTCTGTCAATAGACAGCACAGCCCCAGAATCTGAGGCTTTATTGTTATTTTGGTGTGGATGTCACTATAAGAACTAATGTCAGTATCTAAGATAGAAAATAGTGGTAAAAGTCACCTGACACAAGAGGACGGAAGGTTATAAAGGCAGAGATTGTCTACTCCAGGGACCATTTTCATCAGCTCCGGGGGATGATACTACTGTTGGATGGCCCTCTCTGTATGAACTCATATGGGTTACAGAGAAGGGAAAACTAGAGCAAGGGACATGGAATTCAGGTGTGTGTTGCTTTCTAAATGACATGTATTTTTCAGAGTACACTTTTAAGTATTCAGAACTGGGTGCTGGGGATGTGGGAACTGGAGTGGACACCCTCTGACATCAATCTGCAAAATGTCCACAAGGGGGAGCTTAGTCCCACTTATCACTGCAGTTCAGTCTCTTTTGTATTTGTTCTATATGCCTGTTCTTGAATGATGTAGCATATGTTGCACTAGCCAGTGACGTGATGGGCTCTGGTAGAAAATTACAACGTTATCTGAGAGTATTTGAAAGAAGATTGAACAGAATAGCATAGAAAGTAATTAAAACAATATTGCACCAGTTAATTACAGAAAATAGAAGTACATATCCGAGCCTGTACCTGCCTACATGCTCCAGAAAACCTTTTTCTCCCCACTGCTGAAGAAGCTGTGTTATCATAAGCTAAAGAAATAAAACAATTTTATTTTAGGACAGCTATTCAATCACCACGCAAAAGCTTCTAATAATAAAAATAATGTTTCATTTTATTTCAATACCGTGCAAGGGTAGAAATCATATAGAACTCCTGGAGCCATTTACTCCTTTATATTCAAACCCTATGGGAAGCAGCATCCATCAAAAACAATAAAGGCCAGGTAAGGGCCAGGGTAGCAGCCCTACTGGGAGATAGAAAAAATTAAGAGCCAAAAAGACAAAATGTATGGCTGGGACACAAATATGAGGAACGGTGCAGGGGAAGGGGATACACATAGAGGATTAACATTTGAAGTTAATGTAGTTCTATTTCCTTTATTATAGGTTTTCCCATGTTACCTGCACCCACAGTAAAACTGGGGAAATAATATGATGACTGGGGGCACAGCATCCCACTGAAGCTCTGGAGAATGTATTGGAACGGACTATGGAGCAAGAGCGGGTAGTGGTTAGGAAGATGAGAATGTCTGGGAAAATAATGGCCAAATCAGAGGGGCAATTCTGATCCCCCTCTGACGACTAGCTGAAAGAGACCGGAAAAGGTTAGCAGACTGTTTATGTCACACCAGCATGGGTTGCCAGTTAGCCATGCTACATAAAACCAAAACCCAAATCATCTCAATATACTGAGCAGCTGGGATTTTTCAAAGGAACCCATGAGCATTTGGCACAAATTAACTCCGATCTCCTTAGACTCCTTTGAAACTTGCAGTCTTAACAACTTATTAAATTAAGTTAAAGGAAACCCTGTAAATGGAAGAGTATTGATTTACATCTGCTACAATGCCCTACAGATAAACCTTGGATATCATCTTTTTATTGTTCTTCCCCCACCCCCTCCGTCCCTCGCTCTCCCACCATGGAAACACCTAAAATATACATCTCTCTAAAGATCACGCTGAAAATGCTGAGGAATTATAGAAAGCATTCATTCCTCTATCCAGTTGCTAAATTAAAGAAATAGTCACGTACAAAAAGAGGAAACACCTTTCTAATCATTACCTGCGTGAAAGTGCTGGTGTGCATTGTTGAAACCTGTATATGTAGAATAACTCTGTCGATAAGAGGTTTGGGGCCAGTTAGAAAGCCAATTCTCAACCTATAAAAAAAACCAAAAAAGATACTACCACGGAAACAGAATTAACTGCTCCTTGGAATTACACCAGCAGAGAACTTGTCCTGAAGTACAGCAGTAATGGTCTAAACTGTGGCTCTGAATACTTTACAGACCTGTGCCCTGCATATATTCAGACATCTGCTAATTTGAGGGAACACACTAAGTTTCAGTCTAAGCATTCACAACTTGTATATTGGACTGAAAAGCAGGAAATGTTTTAAAAATCATAGGGGTATTTATTTTATGATTTCTGAACCTTTAGGAAATTTGGGTTGGGTTTATTCTTTGCAACCTTAACTGTTCAGGGTTTGTGAAAAGCAGCAAGTATCGTGAGCTTGGTAATATTCGGTCAATTCACCATTCCCTTTTAAGAATTGCCAAGTCAATACATGCAGGAGAAAAACTGATTTATTTTTATTTACATATCAATAGAAACACTTCCAGCAGATTTAGATTTCACATAGAGGTTGAAATTTATTTTTCTTTGATGAAGCAAGGCCATATAGTCATTCAGTTTCTCTTAGGAGAGGTACTACTCTCACCAGTAGAAATCATGAATCAACAGACATTCAGAATTTTTCTTCCACAGCAAAAATGGCCACTTCATGAGAAAAATAACCTGGGAATAACCAGTGTTAAATGACTCCCCTGGAAAATCAAACTTCTGTGTACATACCTTCTGGGAGAAGCTACAGCAGGTCTCCAGCATCCCTGCATGCTTTGCTCCCAGCCCCCCAAGGGCACCTCCCAGCACATACACAGGTCTAGGAGACAGTGTGTCACTTGTGCTGGATTCTACTTCTCCAGCCAAACAGGGAGCCCTTTCACATTGTGCTGCACAATCCAAAAGGAAAAGACTTCTAAGTGTGAAGAACCAGAGAAGAAGAATCATTCAGTGCTTCATTCTGGTCTTCTGGGGACAACTGAATGTAGGGTGCAAGGACTAATTGACATAGTCAGAGGAAGCTGGATTTAAGTACCTGCCTGAATAGGGAGTAATAGGGAACTGAGCATGTTGTAAGTACCTACATATGATTCAAAGTTGGAGAGAGATCATTACTCTGATATATGTAAATTAATGGAGAGGGGGTTGTGAGTTTCTTAAGGTCACAAAATGGAGGTAGTTAAAGTCCCAATAGCAAAAGACCATTGTGCAAAGTCTAAGCTGACCTTACCCAGATGAAAGAATTTTAGAAAAAGAGTCAGTCCTGATAACTCGACCATCAATATCCATGGAGAGAAAGGTTGGGGGCCAAGGCTGTAAAGAAAATAAAGGCAGTTTAAAGTTTAACTAAAAGATATGGGTTACGCTACAATTACTTTGTTGTTACTAACACAGACTTAAGTATTTCTTGAAGCCTAGGCAGTGTATATTATATGAGAAAACTCAATTGGACATGCACAATGGCAGGGGCAGAGTCTAGTTACCGGCAAATGATTTTGTTTAGCATAGTGCCAACATTGCTGTGGTGATAGTGTCCCTCAAAGACCAGCAAAGAATGAGTTGGAAATGCATTCATGTCTAACACCCAATGCTGAGCGCACAAATACTCAGTCCCAGAGTTTCTGCATGGTGCTACCATAGGATAGCTAAGAGCAAAATAATACATTCTCTTTTATGAGTGTGTCACGGATAACAATTTGTCAGTCCTCTGACAGTCCTACAGTTGCAGCTGTTTCACTTACAGAGAAACCGGAGGACATTTCTCAGAGTCTAGGATTTGTTAAAAGACCACTTCCTGAGCTCCACGTGGATTCCGATTCCCATGGACATTATGTTGCTAGATCAATAATTTCAACTCTCCCTCTAATCCAGTTCTGCAGTCCAAGCAAGGCAGACGCCTTCTCAATTGCTTTTTTGTTTCTATCTGTGGTGTTACTGCTTACAAGGGTTGATCTTATTTCTGAAATTAAACTTGCAGATCCACCCCCCCACCCCGATCCACTTACAAGGAACCCTAGTTATGGTTCTTAAACATTTCCTCCACTGGTACTTAAGAGAGGACAATTCTTCTTTTTCCCATGACTTGTGGGAAGGTTTCCTATGGTTTGGACTCTAAAGAAAAGCAGCAGATAGTGACATCAAATAGGTAGCCTGCCTTGGGTGAATGCTGATATTGGACAGAAAAGATGATACAGCTGTTATTCTCTCTCAATGCCTTGCAACCTTCCTCTACAGCAGAGCACCCCTTTCTGTGTGTTCCTGAGGCAGCCACAATTATAAGTTCCTGTCAGTAGAGATCCAATGGAATAATGCATTTTTATCACTTAAGGACGGCAGAATTTGACCCATTATGACTGACAATGATGCAACCTGATGGTTCAACAGGCATAGTAGCACGAGAACATCAGGATTGAGCATGTACTAGCAATGCTTTAATTTAATTTGGCAGGCTACTAGGTAAGAATAGCACATGGTATAAGCCTCAAGTATCCTGCATTAATGCTCTCCTGACCCAGAAGACATACTGCTCCAATAAGCACAGATAAATTACCTTATTAAACTGAAGAAAATAATATGGATCATCTTCTACTACAAGGAAATCATATTGTCTTGCAAGCTAAAAAGAAATGAACATGAACAGTGTGAAGTATCATTGATATTAAATAAAAAGCAAAAGTTGTGATATCATTTCACTTTATAAACATCCACTATTCTGTATGTTTCCCAGAGCATTTGAGCTTGACAAAATAGTGTCAAGATTTGTTTCTAATTCACTAAAGAATGCTAATAACAAAAGTATATGAACTGGTAAAATGGCAGCTTTAATATGAAACAACCATTTAGCAAAAACTTGAGTCCCAGGCTCCACATATGCCTACATCTGTGGACCTAATCTGCATACTGAAATAAAGGAATATTTTTCAAATACCTATTTAAATGGGAAATATAGGGACACTTATATGCATGGACTTTACACCTATATTTACAGACCTCATGCTTTCAAAACATTTGCCATCACAAATGTTTTCTTTGGCTACATAGTTATAAAAACTTAACATACCAAAAGTTATGTAAGAGATTTTTGTGTAAGTTTTTGTTTCTTTAAATTTACTGAATAAAAGGGTTATGGAATACATTAATACAAACAATTATTAAAAAAAGATATGAAGGGTATGATAAATACATATGTGGATAGGAAACTGCCTTGATCATGTCCTCAGTATTTTCAATGAGCATTTCACAGCCTATAGTGGAGCTAGAAATTCTAATTACTCCAACTTGTGCTTCATTAGGTAGAGCTTTTCATTCTTGTCAGTACCTCCTTCAGTTTATAGGTCTAATGAACAAATACAACAGACAGCCCCTAGACTACCAGCAGTGGGCGCATCTACACGAGATGCTGACTGCGCAATAGCCTGATACTACTGCACAGTAGCATTGCATGGAAAAAACCATGATGCGACACAACCACGATGTTTATATGAGTACTAAATAAATACGCAGTAACCACTTAAGAACCCTATTCTTACAGAGATCTTCCCAGAGCCACCCATCCTAGCCTTCAAACAAGCACCGAACCTCGCCAACCTCATCACCAGAAGCAAACTTCCTCAAGCCCAGAACACACCAAAAGGATCCAGACCGTGCCATGACAAGAAATGCAAAACCTGCCAACACATCTCCACGACCCCCACTATTACTACACCCCACAACCGAGCCATCAGCATTCCTGGATCTTACAGCTGCACCTCCAGAAATGTAATGTATCTCATCCAATGCACCAAATGCCCTGATGGAAAATACGTAGGAGAGATCAAACAACAACTGTGCACCAGAATGAATGCACACCAGAAATCTATCAAAGACAGAAATACCCAGTTACCTGTGGGGGCACATTTCTCACAAGAAAACCACTCTCTCCAATCTCTGAGTCCTGATCCTCCAAGGAAACTTACAAAACACTTCCCAGAGACGAGCCTATGAACTCCACTTCATCAACCTCCTGGATACTAAAAATCATGGACTAAATATAGACGTTGGATTTATGACACATTATAACCTGCCTGACATCTGACTCCCCAGGTATCTCTCCACTTTCATCCCCGTTCTCCGTCTCCCCTCCCCCCAGCCTGTCTCTCACCCATTGACTCCTCAATCTACATTTTCACTGACTACCTGTCTTGTATGCACACCAGCCCAGCCGCTGGCTTCTTTACTTTTCATTCCATCCAGGAAGAGCACACACCAACTGCTGAAACTTCCTTAGCCTGACGAAGGGTTTTTGAACCCGAAAGCTTGCTTAATAATTATTTTCCAACTATTTGTGTTGGTCTAATAAAATATATCATTTTCACCCAAGGAATCCTGTCTGCCTATGTCCTTAGACCAACATGGCTACAACCTACACCCCAGTAACCGCTACACAGTAGTGTGTTGTGTAGACGTGGCCAGAATGTACTAAGCCACAAGAGGTTGATATGTTATTTTTAAAGAGATTTTATAGCAACAGTACATGCTGAGATTGTAGATGTTTTTTGTTCATTTTTATAAGATACGTTGCTTTTGCAGTGGAGTTTGGAATTTGACGTGAAAGTTAGGCTTTTATTAATACCTGGTATATTTTCTTTTTGCGGTCAGTGGTCAGTGAAGTTCCAGTGGGATTGCCACCATTTGGAATGGTGTACAAAAATTTGGGGACGTTGTTGCAGTGGTTTTTTACATCTTCTGGGCTCCACCTAGAGAGAATCTCTTTCAGGGCTTCTGGAATAATACCATGTTGGTCACTGGGGACATTTATTATATCACAGCCCAGGGGTCTCAGCTGTTCACAAAAGGAGAAAAAAAAATGATGAGAGACATATTTCAGTCACAAATCTTGATGTTGAGATTTTGATTCTGTCATTAGTGCTGCAGAATCTCGTCCAACACAGCCTTTCTGCAAATCTAAATGATTATAAAAATCAATTGTATTGGTTTCAACTCACTTTGCTCACAATTCAAGGGATAAGATAGTCTGGAATGCTATAAAGCACTGAGATTGCTGCAATTCCATTTCAGATTCAGTGGCACTGCTAGGACTATGAACCACTGTCCCTGGACAAAGGAAAGACTATAACCGCTCTGTATAGCTAATGGGACAGAGAATTACAAAATATTAATGAAGTAACATGAGTTGATACCAATGTATAAAGTTACCGACACATTAAAAATGCCTGTGGTTTATTTCTGTGGGATTTCTTTTTCTGTACTTCTTGACTTTGCATTTCCTGGGGCAAAATGAACAGCTTCTGGAGCCACAACCCCCGAGTATTCTAAAGAATAAAGCATATCAAATAATAACAAGATGACAGCAATAGTAAAGAGATGATTTTTGGAATCAAAGAAAGTGAAGTGAAGCTATTAAGTGAAATTTGTAAGATAATATCTATTCCTGCACGTCTTCTGTTCTGTTAGGCATTTGAGGAATGTGTTTAATTATGCAAGGTATATATTATTCCAGAAAAAATAATGGTATTTAACAACTGACCTTGCATCATGTTTTAGGCCTATTCCCACTTTTGCTTATTATGTGTACAGAATACTAAACTAGTATTCTCTACCAACAATATTTAAGTGGGGCGCACCCAAATCTCAAAATATATATTGACCCTTGTCATATACGTGAATGGAGACTGCCTTTTGCTGAAAGGTGTATTCATGTTTCTAATGTGAATCTTTGTAAAAATATCGGTCTAGGATGAATCATGACATGAAGCAAAATATGTATGTTGTAGAAAAAATATTACAAGGAGTAGATCAGTGATCCTCAACCTTTTTAAACTCAAAGCACCCCTCACTAGACACAAGGTATCCTTTGGAAATGCTAGCTAGCTCTTAGTTTTCATTCATTTTTTGACTCCAGAAAAAATAATACAAACATTATTTTGTTGCAAAGAACTGAAAAAGACTACAATAGGTAAGAATATTTCTGACATTATGGATTCCTGCTTGAAATGTCTAGGTTTACCTTGTAAATTAGGTGTAGGTGTTTTACAGCTAACAGTGATAATACTGAGTGGTGCTTCACACCACCCTTACAATGATCTCATGGCGCCCTAGGTTGCTGCAGTACCCTGGCTGAGAAACATGGCAACAGTCATTCATTAGTTAACCAGTAACACTTACATCAGTACAGAATCAAAAATGGTAAGTCTAGAGAAAATCTCAGACACATTTTGCAGTAGTTAAATCTAAGACATGCACACCAAAGTGCTATAACTATGACATTCACAGATTTCCATACCTAAACATTACTCACAGCTGCTAGTGTTCCAGGATATGTGGGTGCATCCAGGAGGATGTTGTCTCCAGGGTTAATAAGCATCTCAAACACCTACAAAGCAAAACAATTTATTTTTACAGGACTCGGGTTTTGGTTTACTTTCTTCATAATGCTGCCTACCCTAGTAGAATTATAAATTCTGATGATTAGCGTTTCCCTTAACACTTATCTAAATGTATTCTGAGAAGAAAACAGAAACTGGATTAAACCTTCAATTTTGAAGCATCAGAGACATAGGCATAGCAAAGAGAAATCATATTAATATGTAACACAATCTATTATAATACAAAAGAAAGCATTTGTGCCAGGGAGTGGATCAATTACCTACCAGTATATGAAAACCAACCTGTTTGGAAAATGTATTCTGAAAAGTGAAAGCAAGTCAGAGGGAAACAGTATAGTAAGCCATCCCTTAATCTTACCAACACTGGACTTTTAAAAATCATTTGGTAGAGACCTACAAAAACAAATAGAATCCAGTATCTTTATGATATGCTCTTTGATGAATACCTTCACTTCACCTATACAATTATGTAGCCATAGAAGATGATTATACTATTAGGAAGTTTTGTTCCAATTTCTATTGACTTAAATGTTTTGATGTTGTAACTTAAATTCACAAGTTACCCTCCACTGAGAACCATTATTATACTAATTGCGTCTATGCTATTCAGGATAACCTCTATTTCAAACTCTATTTAAAGCAAACAGCTGTATAATAGAAGCCGTGATATATTTAGCTTTCAGTCTTACTTTACACAGGCCTTCCTGGCTGCCTGTAGTGACACATATCTCCATTTGTCCCTGATCAGGACTGTAGTTGGCTGTGGGGGGACTGTGGAGACTCTTCTGTAAACCCTTTAGCCAGGACAACAGCTCAGGAATTCTGCAACCCAGAATGTATCTTAATTTATCATTATAATCTGTAAAACCCTATACACACTTATTCTCTACTGCAGTTTTAAATCCTTGTTAAATCTAGGGGTGGTAGGTCTGTCTTTCATGTGCTAGTTCAACAAGACAGACATAGTCTCTAGTTCAAAATATTCTCATTTCAACTAATGGAATGAGTGAGGTAAACAAATATAGCATACGCTCATTTTATATAAGATTAAAAGAGACTAGCATGTAAAATAGAAAACCAAACCATCACAGTTAAATCTTCGAGACTGGTAACAACCAAAGGTATGAAGGCTGAAATACCAATAGTACCCTTTCTGTTCTTGGTTGACTATATATCTGCAGAATCCCACTGAGTTCTTGCCAATAAGCATGCCCAAAATGGAGATTAAGAGCAGAATGGGGTATGTACATATTGCCACTGAAGTAGTTACTGTGACTGTAACTCATTTTTGAAAGTTGGTTCATACAGAGGGGTAAGATGTGCCTTAAGGGAGTCAGCATCCTGAAGCAGCTAGTATTTACTGCATGGCAACCCTTAATTACATCACAGTATTTGCAGTAGAAGAGGCATTTGGGATTCTCTAATATTGGTAAACTGAAATTACTTAACTTTAATTAATAAATGTATATAATTGTCAATTCACTCCATTTACTTTAACCCCCCCCCCTTTAAAAAGCATATACAGATTAGACAGCTAAACAAAAACATTGTAAAGGTCAATATTAACATATATTAAAAAGAAATTGTTTCTGGGACTTTAAAAGAAAACTGCATGCATATCTTGGTCAGTACCCAGCTGAGGCAGAGTACTGGAGGGCTCTCTTCATTAAATCCTCCTCCATCTCAACAGCAGTTCCATCTGCAATGGTGATCCTGGCAGTTTTAAATGGGAAAGTGTTAGGGTTTGGTGCCCCGCCAGCCAGAGAGATTAGTGATGGTGGGGACCTCTGCATTAGTTCAGCTGTGGAAAAAAGGAATAAGGCATCTGTTACACAGTAGTGGACACAAGATGTAATTCTTACAATTTTCCTGGCCCTTTACTCCCTTTAAAGGGATTAAAACAAAAGTTGATTGGGATTTATGCAATTTTTTGCTGCTGATGATTGTGCAACGAGGAATTCAGAGGCCATGTTCTTTCCAAGTTTAGATCTTCTTAAGGAGTGGGATGCCAATATTTGTTGTTTTGGGCTGGATCAGAAACATGTTATAAACCTTCTGAGTTGTTAATTAAAAGGGCATCAGTGCTATATCTCTAGCAGACTTTTCCAACTGAATAAAAATCACTTCTCCTTTTGATATCTGTGGTAACATAATCTTACTCATTCTCCAGTTGTCCATAGAGATTTCCAATTGAAAAGAAAATGCAAGATCAGATTTCTAAAATGTAGGAACTAGAAAAATATTCATTTTTTTTTCTAGTTTCAATCCCCCCCACACTCCAGTACAGGCTGGACCTAGAATGGACCTCCCTCCTCCCTCTCCCATCCTGAGACAGCATGGGGTTGGGGAGCGGGAAAGGTGGGGCAGGACTAGG